TTATATCCCGTACTACAGGGGGATTCGGGCGATGGCTTGGTCCGGGGTTTATTGGTGGTGAGCCTTGCGCAACGTGACCCTTCATTGTCTCTCGGTGAGATGGGTGATTGGAGAAGTCTCTGATATGTGTGTGAGCCATTAGTGCTTGATATTTGATGTCTTACATCTGGTCGTGTCCCTGGCTGGGGTTGTCGTACTGCAGTTCCCTGCTCTTGATACGATTTATAGCAGTGCCCGGGAACTCAGGTGTTCCCGAATGTCAATCGGTTCGAGAGAACTGAGCTAGCCTCAAGACCACGATGCAAGACTGATGGGATTGTGATAAAAACCTGCATGAATCGGAGATTAGGCTTGATGAGGAGGATCGCAGATTGCTACAACGCCACCATCACCATCACCATTACCATCACTAACAACACCCTCCGTCTATGAAGAGTAGACCAACCCAGCTAGACAACTCTCACATGTCAAGCATCAGTACCCTCGACACCTTCCAACCTCGCTTGTACTAAGTACGTACCTCAACTCCAGTCCACGTAGTCCCACTCCATCACCACCGCAATCACCCATGCAAGCCCACTTCGCCCCAACTCTGACTAAGAGCCATCCATCGCCTTCCGGGGTCTCCGAGCATAAAACGCAAGCCAAGCCTCCCCCCAAAATCGGCATGTTAATCTGAAACTCCGCCACGCCTCCCTCGGTAGATTTCCATGCAGGTCGAGGATTACTCAATGCTTATGACATGGAGCACGTGGCGGACACACGGTGTGACATCAGGCCTTGATTCCGGGGAGGCCTTCTATCTCCAGTAACTGGCGCGGGGATCTGGGGGGACGAAATCGGACGATTTTTCGGGCTCTGTGATGGCCCTGCAGATTGGGTTTCGGTGGAACGGGGTCAATCGGACGGGTTTTGTTCGGAGCAAGCTCAGTGAGATTGTTCTGGTGGATTTGTTTGGTATTCTTATGCAAGTGAAGGGGATTCACATGGGCCATTCACGGACTCGAGAGCTTGGTTGGTAGTGGCTGATGGTTGTGCTGCTCTTCGTCAGCGCGGTGTCGAAATGGTCTTAGGTGGCTTGGGTAAGAAGGGTTGGATTTGCTTAGAGGGTGATCTACTTCTGAGTTGGATTGGGCTGACTGTGATGGGGCTGGGCGCGTGTAGAGGAAGAAGCCTTGTCTGATTGACTGTGAAGAGTAGGGCTGAAGGAGCAGGGCGTGAGATCTGGGTAAGGAATAGCTTCTCATGCTTGGGGTGAATAGGTTTTCGATGAGTTGTATGAATGTAGTCATTCATTCGGGGGCCTTGGATGGCTCTTTCGAACATTCGCAGCTTGAACAGGACGGCGAAGCTATTCGTTCGATGTCTTCATGAATGAGACTGCGCCTGGCTATCGTGATGTTGCCTTCTGCATTCTGGAACGCAGGAGTGTCTTGCTGTAGCAAGAAGCACATGATTTGGTGGACTGCATTTAACTCAGTATATTGACCGCTTCGAGGTTGAGCTGACGGGTATAAAGTACACGGAGTCGAGTGCCTGACCCAGTAAAATTCGATGTGTGAACCGATGCTCGTGAATGGCAGAGAACAGGTTATGTTGGATTCTTCTGACTGGATTGTGTGGATCAAGTGACTTACATGTGATCTGACATCTATGGTAAGCTGACCATATGTAATGCAGCATTTCAGAATCATGTTGGATGCTTCCAGGTTGCGATTGCCGATTGCCCTATGTCAACGTGATAGGTTGTGGGTTAAGTCGACCTTGCAGAACAAGAGCTATATTCCAAGAATAAGCTCCTTGATTGGCGATGCACATAATTCACATCAACTCCAACATAAGCCTGCCCCGTCTAAGTACTCTGATACCGAGCGCATCGCTGTCCGAATGACTTGATTACGAGTCAAGCATACAGAGTGTCCCAAGACCCAGATCCGATCCAACTACATCAGATATGTTGGCCAACATCATGACCACAGGGATGCGAGACTAGTGGCATGCACGTACACTGTCGTTTTCGACAAGCAAAGAATGAGGGTGACTTATGCACCTTACAATGCATTCATGTCCCAAGGGGAGCTTGTCCTGATAGCCTATCGTCTCATTTGTTCTCTCCCAAGCTGACGAATGCAGATTTTCCCTGCATGCTTCAATCGAGCGACCAGGATTGCTTGCCACACGCATCACCTGGCTCCAGATTAATCTGACGAAGACCGCCCCTTGACAAGATAGAAATAGCTTCGTTGTGGCAGATAATGGCGCCCGAGCCTATGAAGCGCTTGCCGCCGTTGACATGCACTTGTCAAACAATATCCCAGTCAGGTCCCAAATAGGAATATGTCAACCGGTACCTAAAGTTATTTGCCAATAATAAGAGCAGGGGTTCGTCCTCGTGAAGAAGTACTCTACCTGTATGTGTGAGAATGTGTGCGTGGGTGTGATCGGAAAGCGCCATATTGACGGCTGCGGCGCTACCTCTCACCTCTCTCGTACTCGTTCGCAGCATCTAACCACTCTCTACAGCGATTGGTAGGTGGGATATGAAGTACGGTACGGTACTTGGGACCATTCGACTGGCATATACAATAACATCTCAGGGAATAGCTAGTGCCAGCAAAGACATGAGTGATGTTATGCAATGTCGTCAGAGGTGTTTGAGAACCGTGAACGGAGCGAGCTGTCTGCCAACAAAAGCTCCCCCCACCTCCTCTTTTCTCTCCTCATCATCATCAGCCATGGTTGATATGTTGTGGTCGTGCAAGGTCGGGGTTGTTTTCCCGTCGTGTCTCCACCGGGGCAAGGGGCACAAACTTTGCGTCCAAGGTCAGAGTCGCCCAGAGTAGAAGGATTTACTCGATAGTGCATGTATACTAGCAAGAATTGGCCAAAACTTGGGGTTTTGAGTAATTGTGTCAATGGTAGGTTTGCTTGAATCTTGATGATGATGACGACGGTGATGTTTATGATGATGATGATGATGATGATGAACTACCTCACTAGCCCTTGTTGTTTACGTTGTTAGTAACTACTTACCCGTTCGGTAAGTTAAGTTAGAGCGCCAGCGGGTGTAGTTAACCTTCCAACTGGGAGAGATTGAGCAATCCACGGTAACAACAACGGTCCTGCGCCTGGATCGGGAGTCGGGAAAAGAATACCGGCTACAAACGTTCATCGGATCAGAATCAGATCAGTCAAAACAAGGAACAACCACAAAAAGGTTCGAGACTCGGGCCCCCGGGGGACACACATTATTGACTGGATCGGTCTGTGCAGAGAGCGAGAGATTCAATGAACACGAATTCTTCAAATCTTGCTTGCTTGCTCGCACTCAGCCTCCCGCCGTGGCTTGTCGATAACAGATAGATAGATTCCCTACTCCACCAACAAGCCCCTTAAATCAACCCGGTCTCAGATGACAAGAAAGGACATGAAAGTCTCGACTTCCTCTGCCCCATCGCCCACTCCGACTTGTCCCCATAATACGACTGACAAGAGACAAACACGACGGTATCTTTCTGAACTGCTGCAGGCCACACACCTTTTGACTGGCCTACCGGTTCTCTTCCCCCCCATCTGAGAGCCCCATTAGGGTCCGCAAGGCGCACGTACAGGACTTGACGTACTGCCAATGGCAGGCATGGCTGCGATGGAGCCCGTACGGTACCGCCTGCGCCTCTACAACCTTCTCTTCCAATAGTAACTTCGTGTTCGACCAGTCAGTCCGCCAGAGGGCTGCGGAGGGCTCGTGCAGTTCCATCGCAGCGACAGGTCTGGCGGTACAAGGAGGTCCTCTGTACGTATTGCTGCAGCACTTCTCGCTATCTCTGGAAGCACGTACAGTACGGGATGTACTGCACTTCCGACGTACATCCATCCGTATTGAGAGCTCCACTCAACGTTTATTTGAATAGAAGTAACTTTCTTTCCTTCGGATAGAAGCCGGAAAGCCCTCTTGGAGAATACTAACTCATAGTAAGTTAGTCGCTTGATGAGTTGATTGAACAATTCCCGACTAAGTTAGTGTCAGCTGCTGGGCAAGGCAGTCAGTTACTATACTTAACCCTCCTGTTGGGTGGCAAAGACAAGGTGAGCAGAAAGAGAATAAGACGATGCGATGCGTAAGTCAATCAAGAATAGTAGAAGAAAGAAAAATTCTGCATTGATTTCTGGCGGCAATAGTTTAAGCATAGAGATTTATTTTTAGGGCATGCCTCTGCTTGTTTTTTTTCTTTTCTTTTCTTTTCTGTCCAGCGAGAATCCAGAAGTACGGATTGACTACTCGTACTAAGCTCACCACAGGTGGCTGCACTCAGCTGCATCAGACAAGAAGCAATCGACCGCAGTACAGTGACTGGAACCTAGAAATAATAATAATAATAATAATAACTTTAGGGAACCGTCCAGTACGTACCAGTAATTCACATCGGCTCGTCTCCATCCATCCGCTGGTGGATGGATCGATATCCAGTCTGGGACTTTGTTGTAACGGGTCGGTAAGAATACGAGTGGTATTGTCACTCCACCTTTTGTCTCTCTCTCTCTCTCTCTCTCATTTCCCCCCCCCCTCTCTCTCTCTCCCTCATCCTCCACTCCTCCCCCCCCAGCCAATCTGCCCACCACCAAACTAACTAGACTGACTGCTTCTCCCCTAATTCTCCCTCTCGCTACTTTCCCTCCCCAAGCTTCTACCTTCCCATCCCCTCCTCTCCCTCCATTTTTATTCCCCTTTTCTTCTCTTCCCTTCCTTCCCAACTCTTCTCCCAATGACTGGCTGATATCAGGTTCTCAGAAGGATCACCTAAGATCACTGGTTTCCGACCGATAATCAGTGACTGTCGTCATCTCGTGATCTATCTAGCCCCGATTCTTGGGTCGATCTCACCAGCACAGGCTATCTCTACCGCGGGTGATTCTGCAACCCGCCGCCTTTCCACCACCACCACCACCACCACCACCGCAACCCCCCCGTTTACCGCCCACCTTCTTTCCCCTCCTAATCCACCCCCCCGTCCTATTCCTATCGGTCATTTTCACTCAACACCTATCCATCCAGCCAGTCATGCACAATACCTTTCGTTAAGTGCGTTCAGCCTTAAATCGCGGGGGCTCATTACGAGCCAACTCTCGTTCTTCCACCTGCTCCGTCGTTCGAGCGCCAATTGCTGCGATACCCGATGTTCGAAACCTTCGTGGCCGAGCCATTGGCTGTTGACACTAGATCTTCTACACTGCCGACCAAGAACAATACATTTGCAACCACCGTCGAGTACTCCGAAGAGCAAGTGACCACCCCCACAACAGGCCAGCGGAGCCGTGGCAACAGTTTATCGTTCCCAACCCGAGATCCCGCCGCCGATCAGTCGCTCAACCGACAACCTTCGCCGATAAAAATGACGACTGAAGGCCGTTACACTCCCAGCCCCGAACCGCCGCCGGCGCTGTTCGTGCGGGCCATGTACGATTATGACGCCGATGACCACACCAGTCTCAGCTTCCGACGAGGTGATATTATCCAGGTGTTGAACCAACTAGAAACTGGCTGGTGGGATGGAGTTATCAACAACAGCGTGAGGGGCTGGTTTCCCAGCAATTATTGTACTGTGATCACCGATCTTGGTGAGATTGAGGAAGAGCAGGTCTCGCATGGTCGCGACGAGGAGGAGGAGGAGGAGGAGGAGGATGCTATTGTGGATTCTGGCGCGGGAGAGGATTTTGAAGAGGAACAGGAGGTCGATGAAGCTGATTTTGGAGGAAACTCGCGCGATTCGCAGCCGATCTTGCCCATCGAAGGCGCTACAGCGCCCAAGGAGCAGGAGGAGGCCGCTTTCTGGATCCCGCAAGCCACTCCCGACGGCCGCTTATTCTACTTCAATACACTCACCGGCTATAGCACGATGGAGCTGCCGTTCGAAAACCCAACGGCCAACGAGACCGGCCCGTACGATCGGAACACAGTCATCGTGCCTGACCAAACTCGACCACCGCCGGAACTGATGGCTCGTGGGTTCGAACGCGATGAGGACGACTACGATGGTTCGGCGTCCGAAGCGGAGGGCGAGTCCCTCATGTTGACCTCTCGCGACTCGATGTCCCGGAGGCGCCAGTCATACCTCGATGGAGTGTCTCCCGCTACATCTATGGATTCTTTGCATCCACCGTCCGCTACGAAGTCTATTAGTGACGACAAGCTCTCATATCAAGCGATGCGGTGCGCGCAAAACTTCTACGGAGGCGTCCCGCCAAGTAGTAACAACTCCATTTCGGATAACATCCATCGCCCTTCGATCTCCTCGGAAGTTCCCTCACATTTCGTTGATGACGGTGCCTCAACAATTCTGACCTGGCCTTTGCTTGTCGAGAACATGCGGCAGGCCGTGGAAGCCTATCGACAGACACTGATGAACGGCGACCGGTCGGAGTTTGTGCGGAAGGCAGAAGACATTTCCGACCACCTACGCATGTTGCTGGCAGCTGGCTCGGACACGACGGACAATCATTCGGGCAACCCGTCGATTATCTCCACCAACAAAGCCCTCTATCCCCATTTCCGAGACATGATGTCTAAATTCTCCAAGTTGGTGCTCTCATCGCATATTGCAGCAGCTGATTGGCCAGGTCCGGATTCTGCCAACAAGTGCCTACAAGAGGCAGATGGTGTGATGCAGGGTGTCTATGGGTTTGCCGAGGTCGCAAGGCAGCAGCGCGGCGATTCTATCAATCGGATTGTCCCAGGGTTTGTTGGTGGAAGCCATTCGGGCGGCTACTGGCAGAACAACGGTGTGCTACTCAGTGAACCTGGCCCGACTTCATTTTTGGATCAGGACGGGGGCGATATGCGAGCGGAACCCTCCGTGCCCCTTGACGCAGCCCTGCTAGACAAGATCGATATCCTCAGGAGAAACTTTGTGGGCAGCATTCGTCGCCTTGAAGAACGTCTGACGCTCAACCAGAAGAAGATCGTCACCATTGTCGAGCACGAAAACATTGGCAACCTGGTTTCAGCTGCTGCTATCAAGGTTGTCGACCAATATCGCCCGTGGATCTCGGCTGTCGAGTCTATCAACTTGGCACCCCTCGGAACCGGGTTTCAGAACCCCCAACTCGTCGATTTCAGTCTGCAGAAACAAAGAGTGTACGACGCAATTGCCGATTTTGTTGTGAGCTGTCAAGCAGTTACAGCGCCCCTTGGAGACGAGTGGGCTGAATTACGCGGCGATTCCCTTGAAGATAGGTTGAATGCGGTTCGCAGCGTTGCGAGACAGCTGGAAAACTTCGTTTCACAGATTGGGTTCTCGCTATCGCTTCTTCTCGAGCAGGTCCCTGAGCCCACAACGGTCTTCCGCAGTGAGAGTCGCTTGGGTGGAGAGATTGAAAGTACGAAGGTTATTCATAGCCGCGCAGAATCTCAAACCAGAATTGCAACGGAATCCATCGGTATTCCGTCCTCGTACTCGATTGAGCACTCCACCGAGAAGGTGCGTCGCAATATGGACAAGGCACAAAGATTCTTTGGGCAAGCGCCGCCAGCTGCAATTCCGCGGGAATCCGTGCGAGAGCCGGTTCGCGAGCCGGAAGAAACACCTTGGTTCTTGAAGATGGACCACGAAGGCGAGGTGTTCTTTGATACCAAGAATGACGTTCCCACTCTCAAGTGTGGTACTCTTGCCGGCTTGGTGGAGCAATTGACGCGCCATGACAAGCTTGATGCTTCTTTCAACAACACGTTTCTTCTCACCTATCGTTCGTTCACGACGGCGAAGGAGCTCTTTGAGCTGATCACACAGAGATTCAATATCCAGCCCCCATTTGGCCTGAACCCAGATGAGATGCAGATGTGGGTCGACAGGAAACAGAAGCCAATTCGCTTCCGTGTGGTCAACATCTTGAAGAGTTGGTTCGAGAACTTCTGGATGGAGCCGAATGACGCGGCGCACACGGCTCTGCTTGAGCATGTCCACTCGTTCACTAAAGACTCCATTGCAACCACCAAGACACCAGGGTCACCGCAGCTCCTGGCAGCCATAGAGCAACGACTCAAGGGTCAAGACAATACGGTCAAGCGCTTGGTTCTCACTCAGGCTACCGCAGCTCCGACACCCATTATACCTAAGAATATGAAGAAGATGAAGTTCCTGGATATAGATCCGACCGAGTTTGCCCGACAGCTTACAATCATCGAATCACGTCTTTATTCTAAGATTCGGCCTACGGAATGTTTGAACAAGACATGGCAGAAGAAGGTCGGACCGGATGAAGCCGAACCTGCTGCAAACGTGAAGGCCCTCATTCTTCATTCCAATCAGTTGACAAACTGGGTCGCGGAGATGATTCTCACTCACTCTGATGTCAAGAAGCGAGTGGTCGTGATCAAGCACTTTGTCAACATCGCCGATGTATGCATTCCTCTCCACCATCTTGTCGAATACTAACCATTGGTCAGAAATGTCGCGCACTCAACAATTACTCCACCTTAACCTCTATCATATCCGCTCTAGGAACGGCGCCGATTCACCGTCTGGGACGCACATGGTCTCAAGTCAGTGGACGCACATATACTGTGCTTGAGCAAATGCGTCGCCTGATGGCGAGCACGAAGAACTTCGGCGAATATCGAGAGACATTGCATCTGGCAAACCCACCTTGCATTCCATTCTTTGGTGAGCAGACTTTGATAAAGGCTTCTGAAAAGTCTTGACTAGGCAGCGATAAACAGTGGCTGACAGATTATTAGGTGTCTACTTAACCGACTTAACCTTCATCGAAGACGGTATTCCATCTCTGACACCATCCGAGCTGATCAACTTCAACAAGCGTGCGAAGACGGCAGAAGTGATCCGCGACATCCAACAATATCAGAATGTCCCGTACCTTTTGCAGCCGGTCCCGGAGTTGCAGGATTATATTCTCAGTAATCTGCAAGCGGCGGGCGACGTGCATAACATGTACGACCGAAGTCTGGAAGTAGAGCCGAGAGAGAGGGAGGACGAGAAGATCGCGAGGTATGCTGCTAACAATACTCCTATCGCTCCCACCACTGCACGCGCCAGTCCTACCACAGGAAATGGCAACAACAACCTCAACACTGCCAGCATGCGTACTTTGACCTTCGCGAGCATGGTCGTGTTAACACGATGATAATGTCACCCTGTGTTCTGGCTTCTTTTCCATTCCCCTGCACTTGTTCCGCTACCCGTGAGGCCATGACTACTCACTTGGGAAGTATGCGCATGCTGTTGAGGGATCGTTATGCATTGACAATTTCTGATTGAACGATCGAAGACTAACGGTTTTGGATTCTAACACGTAGACTCCTATCTGAATCGGGCTTCCTGTAAACCGCCGCTTTTACCGCTTCTCCGTCGGGGCGTCTTATCGGGCCAGGTGTGGTGCAGGGTCAATCCTTGTCGGTGTCACAATTACTACGTGCGCTTGGACGTGACCGCTCCTTTCACCAGTCAAACTTTGAATTGAACTGCCAACAGCCACGAGCCTATCATATGCGTTCAGCCGACCTCCTGATGGCGTGATAAGCAAGGGTCGGAGCTGCATACACATACATTCACCCCAACCGCGCCGCACAACCTTATCTCAATCAGCCGAGCCTATCAAGGTGTCTGCCGTCCACCACCACTTATCACATCAATGGATCACAGCCAAGGTGGCAATTTCCCCCCTGCACTCTAATTTCGACGCTATCGCATATTACGCCAACCCTGGTGTCGATTTCGCTCCTGTGGCGTTATAGCTCAATTCGAGCTGGAGAATCTGACATGCTGCTTTCGACTGAAACAGTGGGCCTGGATCGTACTATCCATGCGTGCTTGCGGCTAATTGCAGCGCGGAAGTTGGAAAGGTCCACCCTGGAACTGCTCAGCTTTCAAGAATATTGGATCAGGATAATCAATCCTACGATCTACTTGCCGCTCTGCCTCTCATCGACCAAATAAGCAAAAACACAAAAAACACAAATACGACTGGAACGCCCAGGCGGAATTCCACGCCAGCAAGCATATACAAATTCAACGAGTGTTGTCATGAACGACGCTGACGAACCTCGATCACGACATAGACTTTATCTTTTCTGCCAGTCTCAGTCCCTGTCGTCTCTTCCACCTGACTGAGGGCCTCGTTCATTTTCTTGACCAGCGTCAATCCGACATGACCTTGCAATTTCTTTTGTTTCTTCCCTGTCACCTCAACGGCTCTAGCAGTCCTCCCTGCTTTTTTCTTTTTTCTTCTTCTCGGCAAGTGATCGACTCGAAGATTGATCAGATCTTTCTACCATATATGTTGCTTGTACAGTGATCTAGCTTTCTTCGCTTCTTGTACGCATACCGACGATCCTGTGATCTCTCACCTGGTGTTGATCGTCTTCCCCCGAAGGGTCTTACTCATTGTTCGGATTGATGAATAATATGTCATGACACATGTTGCACAGGCATGTGATCTTTGTTGGAACGTGGTTCCAACTGTGATTTTACCTTTCTATGATTGTCACCTGTACTTATTTGTTCTACTACCGAGGATACACCTCATACTTTAGTGTATAGACCATATCAATGGCGCTCACCCGTCAGGGCTCAAGAATCAGCTCCTTGCTAACATAGTTGCGCAATGAACGTAGTGCAGAGGTCAATCCCGCCCAGGTAGCTTCACTCTTCCTGGATTGGTGGATTTAGTGAGTCATAGTGGGACGAGGCTGGCTGTTTGTAGATGTGCTGGGAGCATTTTTGTCTAGAAATTGAGAACAAGCATAAGTCATTCCCACCTCATTACTGAATACAAAGCTTGTCTAGATCATCTGGGCTGCGGCGCTGCATCTGTCGCATCTCCCTGTCCGATGTTTTGGAAGAGCTTCCTCTTCACCTCCGCGGCGAGCAGCCCTTTGACCTCCTCCGACGCAATCCGCTGGCCGTCCCGAGCGATGCGGTCCAGCTGGGGATCCCGGACCTGGGTCACATTGCCTCGGGACACATTGCCCTCCATGCCGCGGGTGGCGCGCCGGACCTTCTGGCTGAGATCCATGATCTGCTTACTGCCGTAGTCCTGGGAGGCGAAGAGCGGGTTCTGACTGAGGGTGGCGACCCAGTACTTATTCCACAGCAGGTCGAGGATCTGGGCATCGAGGGTACTCTTGAAGATCTCGACCTCGAGCGAGTAGTAATGGGAGGCATGGGCGCCGAAATCCTCGGCCTTACTCAACGGCACCGACTGATACCCGGCCCCACCACCACCATTAGGGGCTGTATCCTCCCCATCCTCCTCCCCGCCGCCCAAATGCTGCTCCCCGCCCTTCGGCGGCACATAATCCTTGGGGAATGTCCGAAACGCCCCGATATCGACCTTGCCGGCCGAGATCGTGCGCTCGGGATCGATCACCACCGCCACGAAGGGGCCCCCCAGCTGCTGCATGTCCTGCGTCGTGACATCGATCCCGGACAGCCAGCACCCGTAGCCCGGGTGGCTGTGGTACCACCCCACGGCGTTCTCCATGCGGCCCGCGTCCCGGCACGACTGCAGGTACGACACCATGTACTCGTTCGCCTCCTCCTGCGCGTTCACCCGCGTCTCCGTCCCCTCCACCGGCAGCCGGTACGCGTCCGTCACCACGAAGGTTTCCGGCAGGATGTACCCCTGCATCAGGCCCATGACCTCGAGCGAGCCGCCCGACCGCGCGTGCATGACCATCTTTAGGAGGGCGAGGGCCGAGATTCGGACGGTCTTGAAGTAGTGGGGGTCTTTGGACCACGGGCGTTGCGCCGAGAGCGTCCGGTGCGTTTCTTCTGAGTAGGCGTAGAGTGTGTCGCGGTGCGGGTCGATTAGGGTGGTTGCGTTTTCGAGGTCTTTTTTTGCGGGAGGCGGGGTGTTAGTTTGGGTTGATGATGCGTGGGTTTGTCATGGGTTTTGTGGGATATGGGGTTCTGGGGTAGAGGAGGGGGTGGGGGGTGGGTTCGGAAAGTGAGGTGTGATGAGGGGGGAAGTGAAGTGGTCTGCGGAGATACTAACCCCAGGACCGCAGAGCTGCTTGTTCCATGGTGGGTTGTGCTTGGTTGGTGATGTGAAATTAGTGAAGAGAAGGTCGGGTTGTGAGGTAAGGATTGTCTAGGATGTTTAAGTCTGGGAGAATGATGCCGATGGGGACATGAGATAAGATGAGGGGAAAGAGGGGGGTTTGTTATCGATTTGGATGAAGTTGAAAGTGAGTTAGTTTACGGAGTACTTATCGGTGACAGCATTGCGGAATGCGGAGAGAGAGGAGAAAAGGCGGTGACTATCGTCCGGCAGATTGCCGGCAGATCCGGGCGGTCAATGGCTGAATCAGCGGTTGCTGCAGAAACGGGGGCGGGAACGTCAAACAAGGCGGCGAAGGGCAATCGAAGCTGAGCGGGCGGGATTCCCCAGGCGGGAAGGGGAAGGCCAGCCAGCAGTCAGTCAGTCAGGGCAGTTCTCGATTATTGTTGTCCCCCTCTGATCTATCGATCTCTCCATCTACATCCACACCACACCACACCATACATCCACCCCCCCCCCGTCGCCCTTGCATCTGCTTGCAGCCGTGGACTCGTTAATAAAATATACGGGTTGTGTCTGGTTCTTGCAGATGCCATTCTACTTTCTGTGATCCCATTCTTTTCCTTTCCTTTCTTTTCCCTGCTGCCCTGTCCGCCTTGCAGACTCTGTTGCGGTCGGTCTTCCGCGGCAAATCCTGACAGGTGAAGGCGCATTGTCGCCGCAGATCTTATATGACGGTGGATCGCGAGTTCGCTCCAAGGCGATCGGCTCCGTCAAGTGGGTTGCGCGTAAAATCGCAATCGCTCTAAAGCAAACTTCATACCCGGCGCTTGCACATCACCCGATCCACCTGCGCTTGGGCGGTCCATCTCATTCGCAATGGCCGTCGATACCAGCTACCTGACCACCCAGGTCAACACCATCGTGTCGGAACTACATGGTATTTACGATGACATCGGTGTTCCGAGCCATGAGCGCGACGCGCGTGAGGCAGAGGTTCGTTGGCCCCCATCCGCATCCGCATCACCCCCCCCTACCTACCTACAGTGACCGTTTGCGACTGACATGATCCAACCCCCTTCTAGCTCTTCAGTGCTTTGTCCGAAACGCTGAACAACCACCTCAAACTCGTGGACACGTAAGTAACACACACACACACTGCGCGATGGAAGGAAATCGATTTCAATTCACCCTGTTGTTTATGCCAAGAACGGGCGGCTAAATCTTCCTACTACAAATCAGTGAGAAGAAAGAGATGGAGGAAGAGGCGCAGCGACTCATCACCGCTATTCAACATATGGAACACTCCCTGGTGGATGAGAAGGCCAATGGACAGTATCAGCTCGATCACAATGCCTTGCGCGTCAGCTACCCGCTCAACCGTTGTTTGGCTTTCCTGCGCGAGGAGCACGGCGCGTTGAGCAAATTACACAAGGAGCGTTTCGAGCAAGTGAGGAGTAAGTGCACCGTCGATGTTTGTTCTGCGCGCAGAAGTGGGAATCTGTCGGGCTGACTGGTGCAAAAACAAAGAATTGGTGGAGGCCCTCGAATCCTACGCGTCGCATCTCGAAGCAACATTCGTCAACATCGAATTGCCGCCGACAGCACCGGGAACCACGATTTCGCCGAGCTTCGATCTTTCCCCGTCCTATGTCACCGCTCTGGACGATGAGTTCACAAGAGTCTACGAAGAATATCATCGACGCTTGGAGTTCGTCAAGACCACCTGCGAGGAGATAATTAAACTGTGGGCTGAGCTTGGTACCCCCCAAGTGCAGACCGACACGAACATCGTCAAATATTACCGGGAGGCGCCTGAGCAGCTGGGTCTCCACGAGTCGGATTTGAACAATCTGAGGGCAAAACGCGAGAAGCTGCTGGAGGAGAAGAGAGGTCGGGAGCGCAAGCTAAAGGACCTGCGGACCGCGGTGGAAGCACTCTGGGAACGATTCGGCATTGAGGAGGCTGATCGGAAGGAGTTCCTCGCTGCGAACCGTGGCTGTGGCCTTCGCACTATCAACGAGTTTGAGGAAGAATTGGGTCGTCTCAACGAACTCAAGAGCCAGAACCTGCACCTCTTCGTTGAGGATGCCCGCGTCCGGTTGCAGGAGCTATGGGATGCGCTATACTTCTCGGAAGAGGAGATGATCGATTTCACTCCGGCCTTCTCCGACGTGTTCAGCGATGCTCTCCTTGAGGCTCATGAAGGCGAAATCGCGCGACTGGAGACCCTGAAGGCACAGCGTGCGCCAGCTTTGGCACTAATTGACAAGCACCGCAGCCTTTTGGCGGAACGAGAGGCTCTGGCTATTTCCAGCCAAGATGCTTCCCGTCTCATGGCGCGTGGCGCAAAGGGAGAGAGACGCGACCCAGGCAAGCTTTTGAGAGAAGAGAAGATGAGAAAGCGAATCGCCAAAGAATTGCCGAAGGTTGAGGTTGATCTCCGGAAAGAGCTGGAGAAGTGGGAAGAAGATTACGGCCGGCCGTTTCTCATCCACGGAGAGAGATATCTGGATGAGCTCACCCCAGTTGTCGCCAAACCTCCTCCACGATCCAAGACTCCCTCTGCTGCCCCGGCTAGTGCTACCAAGCGGAGCACTGGCCAGATGCAGCCACCATCGCGCCCTGCGAGCGTGATGAGAGGAGCCCCACCCCCACGCTCCACCAGCAAGACCCCCACTGGAAACCGTCCTCCAACAAAGTACAACACCATTGGCCCTTCGCGAGCGCCTTCCAGAGCGGGTAACAAGTCTCCCTCCAAGATCCCAGCCCGAGTTCCACTTGGGAACATGCCTCTTGGAAACAATTCCCCCAATCGCCGCGCAGTTCCTGGGGCCTATTCCTCGAGCACGATCAACGGCAAGATCCCAGCACCTCGTCCGCCTCCACCCAGAATGCGGGCCTTGACTGGTGGTGAGTCGCGGGAGGAGCGCATGTCCTATCTCTTCGACCCTCCACGGAGCGCTAGCGCGTTGTCGAATACCTTTGTGCGGCCGGTCAGCCCTGAAGACGTATACGATGACCGCAACCAGCGTTCCTTTGTCAGCTCGTCGGCGTTCTCTCAGCGGTCCACTGGATTCTCTCAATCATCGCACTCATCGGCCTCGTCGTTATCCTCCTCCATGCAGGGGTTCCCTAAACCCAATCCCTATCTGCAGCACGCAGCCCCGCCCCCCGCTCCAGCCCCCCGACAAGTGTCTAGTACATCGACCGTCATCACGGCAACCACCGGATCGGAGAACTGGGAAACCTTTGACTCTGGTGATGAGTCGGAAGCCGATGCTAGCGATGTCTATTACGCTAAACTTCGCGCGGCTCACGGGAAACGCCTGTTGGCCCCCGAGGAAACCCCCGTTCTTTCGCTCGGAGGGAAGAAAGCCAAAGGCATTCGAAGTGTCAGCCCTGACGAGCCTGCTGACATCCAGCATAGACAGATGATGCATGCAGGTGGAAGCGACAATGAGTGGACGGATGATATGGAGCCATACTGAAGCATCTGAGGGTCCATCGCTTGCTCCACAGACTCGACACCCATGTTCTGAGCCTAGAACACGGTCATCGGGCTCTTCTGATATTTACATGTTCCCCCTGCCGATCCACCCCGGCAGTCTCTCGCTTGAGCTTCCATGCCCTTTTTCAAGGCAACGTAATAAAGTGCTGCTCAATGCCCCTAATCTTCTTTGCTGAAATTCTTCGAGATTATACCACGTCGTTATGCTGTTGTTGCGTTCTGTCTGCTTCAGCCTTTGACCTTTACTTGTTGTGGTGTCCAGACCATCTGCGATGCCTATCGACCGACCCATTTCACTGCGTGATCGAGGTCCCAGCCCAATACAATCCACTTACTAAACAACGAACGACATGACTTGGATGCTGTTACGAGTTGCACCCCTGCGTGTTGCACTCCTCAAAAAGCTCTCTATCATATTTGGAGACAACCACTCGACTTCTTGTACTATGGTTATGTTACCTTCTGTTTGAACACTGCCGCAACCACCTTCTCTTACAGGACATAGTCGATATTGGGGTGTCTTTCCTTTGTGAAACTACATAGCATCCCAGTGACTTCCTCATGATGACCACTGCCAATGTCTATGGGGGGCCCTGCTTGTCTTATGCCTGCGAGCTCTGTCCCTCTCTCTTCTATTTGTTTTCTATCTTCTTGGTGTGGCTGTCTTGCTTTGTATGTGATATTGTGTATACGTCGCCTGGACATGCAACCCGCTTTTTTCTCCTTTGTGTCGTTTCTGATTTGGTTTTAATATCAGCCGTGCGCCACTGGTTTAATTAGCTTTTTAGTTTCTGAGTTGATACATTCATACTTGATTTTATCTAAGTCCACGGCAGAGAAGTAATCATTCACGCGGGGGAGGTTCTAACTTAGTAAAGCTACTGTGGATCCTGACTATCACGGCTTTGTAGGATGATCGCAATTGATTTGCTATAGCAATGATCCAGAGTGCCTTGCATTCAGACTAGCTGTCCCTAGCTGTCAAGACTAACTGGGGGACGCACTCCTTGCCCACCATCATTCCAAACCCATTGCGAATAGTTATCGGTGAACACAGCAGTGAGAAGACGTGTCTCAGTCTGCTACTAGGATGCTAGCGGGACAAGTGGGTGTAAGTTAACTGGTAGACAAAGTAAAACCCACGACGAACGTGGCCTAGAAGAGGTAGTGCAGTCAATGACAATCCGATCTCCAACCACTCTTCTCAGCCAGTCATCATACATCCTTTCCGGGTGCATCGGGCGATCTGTTCCTCAAGGTGATCGATCATCACCTCGAAGAAACTCAATAGCCCAACACTTGTCTGGGATGTAGAAAATCAACTCGACCTTTACTGGTCCTTGGGCCATTCGCGGATGAGTTGTACGCCAGTCAATGCCGGCCCACTTTGGAGAATTCTGTAGAATTGTCCGTAGAATCCGTCTTGGTATTGGGCTTCGAAGAGCCGGACTTGTAATGCAATGCCGTCACGGGCATTTCCTCAAATTGATCTTGGAAATTGTGAGGAAGCCTTGCAGAAAATCTTCCAGCAACATTGTCTAGCTGTGGTGTCACATTCGTCAGGGTCGGGATGACCGTTGCGGCTTGTGGCTCAGGTG